AATGAAATTGGAAAGCTGCCTGATGTTAAATCAACAGTAGCAGCAAATGTTGCTGTTTTTGCTTCTGATGATGGTTTCCCTTCAACACAAATACTGAATAACAAAATGAACATTACACATTTTTGCAGACCAAATAAGACCGATCGCACGAAAAAAACTAAACCCAAAATAAAATTAAATACTCTCTGTTGTGAGTGCAAAGACCAAGTATTCGAACGAACAAACAAACCGACCATCCCATCCATCCATTCAACCAACCAACCAACACAGTGATGTTGGCCAAATTCATTGCATTACGTTTTAGTCCAACTTGAACATTGCTATAGTGAAATTCTCTCACCAATAACCATCATCAAACCGATTGAAACGACGGCGGCGGGCATACCGCTTTATATCGATAACCGTTATTGATTGATTATTTTGTCGTTTGTTGTATTTGTTGTAACAGCATAGATATTTTGTTGTTGATCAAAAAGCAAAGTAAAATTAAAAAACGAAAAAGAAAACAAGATACAAAACTATTAAAACCGATAGAGATTAAACGTTAAACTTGAAAAGCAAAAAAAAAAACGAAAGATTTTCATTGTGTGCATGTGTATGTAAGTGCAAGTGTTATTTAGTTTTGTGATGTGATGCTGCTTAAAACGAGTTATTAAAGTTTTATTAACATTGCTGGATTAAGCGGTGCAAGAGCCTTGTGTTGTAGACTGACAACTATTTGTGACAAGTTTACAAAAAATGAGAGTAAATATGACAAGTGAGGTATATATAACGAATTTGTTGTGGGTTCATTCGCATATTTCCCATTTAGTTTCAAGCAAAGATGTTTTAGTTGGGGGCCTGACCAACTATGACATCTTTGTGTATCGGAACCATAATTAATATCTAATTTAGTAATACCATATAATGAAGTTTTTATAACTGCCGACTTTTTTTTAAGTTTTCATACCAAGTTGAGCCAAAATTCGAAAAAAATTATTTTAAGTCTTCACTCGTATCACTTATAGATATCTGAGTAGGAAAAATCGTTGGGTTTCAAATAAATTATAAGAAATTTGGACATATATTAAAAAAGTTCTACCAGCAGGCCTTCTGAGAAGACGTAATATCATGCTACGTTAATTTCCGATGGAAAAAAGGAATAGAGCCTTCAAAATATTTTAATATAATACGCCATATCGGATGGAAGCTTTGTCCAAACATAGAACAGGAGGTTGTTTATCGACCAAAAATTAAAATACAATACAAAATCAAATATAGGTTGGAAATGATTTCAATCGTTATTGTAAAAGCCGTACGGGAACTTCAAAATGTTTAAAATTGATTTGTTATGTGACTATAATCAACATGACACTATATATGTGCGACCTCCCATATAATAATCGGAATATAGGCAAAATTAACAAATAAATAAAGGTATTATGTTCAGGATTGTTTAACACTTCATATCATCCACCATGGACAGTTAAAATACCTAAATTGAATCTGAAGTTTTATATGGAGGATATGCCATGATATTTTATTGTCAGGAGTTTTTTTTATCATCTGATGATGGTCTTTTAACATACCAAAAATGACGAGCGAACTTTGTATGGGTGGTGTGTAGAAGCTTGGACTAAAAATTTTCTATATGGCGAAATACAGTACCTTCTGTTGGACCATTTTATGGGGGGAACATTTGATACCAAATTAGAACCCTTAATATCAAATTAGAGACAATTTGTTCGAAAACGTTCCCAAAATGCTGAATAATTAATAGGACCTACCATGAAATTTTAGCAACCGTATTATCTGATAAGGCCTCCAAATCCCGAAAAAAATTGATGCACGTTGAGGACCTAAAATACCAATAGTGTAAGAAAAAAACTGCCAAAAGTGCAGAATATTGGGCACACATTTATAAGGTCGCTAAACAAAAAATCAGACCAATATATACTACTACAACCACGCTATTACTACCGCGCTTTTTGTGCTAGGCTAAGAACTTTCCGAACTGTCCTCGTATATGAGCTCTATTTTAAATATTTTGAACTCTATACGGATTATAACATACAGAAGTACGTGGATAAATCGACACGGATTTTTTCGGATCAATAATAGGTACAACAAATGGGCTGTCCAAATTTGAATGGGAATTGCATTCCTATAGCTCTCATTCAATTCACTATTTTCTACGAAACCTTAATAATCATTGACAAAAACTTTAAGTCACACATTTCAATACCCTTATTCGCTACCAATATTCCAGTGGACAAACAAACATATGTTGACTTAAAACATTTTATTTATTTCCGCTTTGGGGCCCTTTCGCCCACCTTCCGAAGAAAAACAAAAACGTTTTTCCCCTACAACCATGTACAATAAAAAATATAAAGCTTACACATAGATTTATAGACGCTATGGGAATTACAATTTAACACAGAGTTTTCCATGAATATGCATCTGAGGCGACATCACCACACATTGGTGTGGTATTTTGTGTGTGGTCGAAACCAAAGATTGGCGGGCTCTGTTTTTGGAAAAATGATTATGGTGGCAATGATTCGTTATGGCTTAAAACGAGTTGTTTAAATACGTTTATATTTTTTTTCTCATTCATTCAATGATCTTATTTGTATGCCTGCTTGCCTGGGCGAAGAAAGTGTGTCAGGTGGTGGTATATCATGAGCACATATGTTGTTGGTGTACCAACACCAAACACCAACAATCGTACATATGTACATGTATACAACTCCTGATGAAGAAAAAAAAAACAAAAACAACACCATAAGCTCCATAACAGGCAACATCAATCGTGGGCATAACGAAGTTTTGAGTTTGTCAACGATTTCAGTCGCACCACCAAATCCAAACAGTATTATGGAAAAATACCCCGACACAAAGAGTTCCACTTGGAACTCTTACAACTTATGGCAACATCCGCCGCTTTCAAACTAAACTGAAATTCCAAAACAAAAAATACAAAATGTTCGCTGAAATTTATGTTGTTGTGATCAAAGTGAAAACCAGACATATCACCAACAAAAAAAGCCCGAAAGGCATATAAAACCATTTTAAACACTATAACAAATAGTTTCAATGGCAGCAGCAGCAACAACAACAACATCGGGAGCGTTGGATGCTGTAGCATGAGTGTAAACACCGGTTTTGGCCAAAGTCAAAATGTGATTAAACTTTATTAGAAATCAATTAAATTTATGCATATAATCAAGTTGAATACAAATGTGTGTTGGTCGCCGTTGTTGTTGTGGATGTTTTCGTTTGTGCTGTGCTGGGAAAGTTTTTGTGTGTGTCTCTTGGCTTAATATCATGGGGGAAAAGAGTTGATTCTCAAGATGTTTTGCGAGAGAAAATAATTTAAATGAAAAATATAATTTATCTCTGACATTTGAAAAATAAAAATGATTTGTGTTCAAAACAATTGCCAACTGAAAGCCCAAAAAAAAAATAACGTTTGGAACAATAAGCAAATTAGTATTGTTGGACGGGATGGAATGTGTGGCTCTGGAGGTATCAAAAAAATTGGAAACACATTTCATATTTTCGAAATATTTGTTGAAGGGGTCTTCAAAAGAATATAAATTCTTGATCGGAATAAAAATAATATAAATTAATTATAAATAATTTTCAAATAACGGTTCTAGACCATTTTGGCTATTTTTAAGGTTTTAGTCACACATTCAAACCGAAGGGTCTAAAATTTGGAATTCCGTTTATTGGGGGGTGATAAATACCTTTGCTGAAAATATTCGATATAGGAAGATCGATATTGAAGATCGCACGCCAATTTTCCAAACAAAGTGTTAGTTTTTTTAACATTCCGGGTTTTTGGTGGGTAAAAGTTGATTTCTTGACATAGCCACCAAATATTTAAAACTTTGTCTCATTTTCGTTATTTTAAGGCCCAGTCAAAGAGACAGTACTTTGTATTATCCTATCCTATTGTTTCAAGCTATATGGCTTTTAGGAGACATTTTGAATGCTCGGCAGAATATAGTCTCAATTTAAAGGCTTCGTCTCATGCTCGTTGTTTTCTTAGAGAATAAACATCGCATATCCCACCAGCTACAACGACATAGCCCCAAATTATCCCCAAATGTCCTGAAAATTCGGACCAGCCAAACATAACGACATGTTTGTTCTAAGAAACTCTATTTCAAAATATGTTCATAAAATTTAGACAGTTTCTAAGGTTTGAATCCAAGATATCCTGTGTTCAATGGACGCATGCTAACCTTTCCAACCAGGAGATGGGTAGGGTTTTATGTGCGCAATTTCATGACAACGTGTCAGTATAGGGAAAAATATGAATAGTTATATTCAGACATATGGTCGTAGATTTTAGGAGCTTTGAAGGAAATCGGGCACAACCATTATTGAATGCAATTTAGTTATAACCCCCATATGTTGGTACCACCCAAATTTTGGTGTTTTGATTGCATGCTCATGTTTTTTATATAATGAGTCGGGATCAGAGCCTAAATTAAAAGAGAATGTATACATACCGTCTTCAGATTGTGTGTGTCGCATGTCGATGATATGTGAGGGATCCGAATACCACAGTTCAAGTAGCGCCTGCGAATACTATAAAGAAGTATACACATCTGTTTAATAGGCAATTTATTGATAGAAAGCAAAATGATATTTTTGTTAAATTTTAAATTTTATTTTAAATATTTCATTCTTTAATATTTTTTTTCATTGTTTAATAAATTTAATTAATTAAATTTTTAATTTAATTATATTAATTTTAATAAATTTCCTTTCTCTCGCCCTTTGCAGAGATGGATATGAAACCAATTGGATTTTCATTACTAACAACAACCGTCCTCTGTGCTACCATCTTAATTGGGCAAATATCAGGAGAAGCTTTACGTTTGCCGGACCAGCCGAGCCCAGGCGGACAACAGACACAATCGATTAATTTCAATCATGTTCAGCAAATCTACCAACCCCAACAGCAGCAGCAGCAACAACAACAACCGCAGACACAGCAGCAGGCTCAACAACCTCAACCGGCTGGCGGTGAGGGTCGTTCATCAATCTTTGATATTTTCGGTTTAGGTGGCGGTGAAAGTGATCCCTATTTGGCACGCACCAATTCGAATTGTTTGAGCGGTGATCTATCGGAATGTTTTAAAAATCAAGCTTTATCCAGCTTTGATGAAATCTTCTATCGTAATAGTTATCCGTAAGTTGAATTGTTTGGAAATGTTATAAATAGGATATCCTTTTTATGTGAGTTTTTCTTTATGTTGCCTATTAAAGCAGTTTAACAGAATTTGCCCGAATTGTACGTTTGCCCGAGACGCAACAACGTTCCTTATTGAGTGAACCATTTGAATATTCTGAAGAACCACGCAATGATGATAGCGATTGGGATCAAATGGTGAAATATGCCTTGAGACGAGCTGAAAGGTGAGTTTTATTTGGGATAATTTTTTTTATTGATAAGAGTGCAAAATGGACAATTAGGTTTGTTAATTTAAAATTCTGTTTCTATTTATAACTATTTTGAAAAGTACATTACGACGTGCTCCTTTGCCTATATTAATAGAAAAATTGAGTGGTTGTAAGGTACTGCAATATATTAATTCTTAGGTACTACTTAAACTCATCTTGCTTAACCTTATCTCAAACACAAAATACTTATCAATAGACTATTTGTTCTAATAATAAAATTTGATTTTTAATATTAGCTGTGAATTCTGATTCTGTATTTGCAAGCAATTTTAAAAATATATAGCCCATGCTTCATCCATATCCTTCTTAAAATGTTTATATAAAATTTAAATATTCCAATAATTTATATTTTAACTTAATCCCTCTTTTGAAATTTTTATTACTTAGTAATTACTGTAAAATATGTGTCTTTGCAAAACTATATTTTGGGAAATTTCTCTAATATGATGAGCAAAATTAGCAATTCTAAAATATTAGTTTCAAAATAATGCATGTATTAAAGTGGGGTCGACATATTTTAAATTTAATTCAACGCTCCGAAGGGAACTTCATGTCATTTTGAGGGGATCCTCATCCACGATTTGAAATTTCGTTATTCATAAAAACTAGGTTTCGAAAAAAGCGTTTAAAGTTTCCGTCATAGCTTGATGCTGACATAACAAATCGATTATATCTTCAACAGTTTTTCAGATTTTCGCTTGGAATTTTAAAAGGACATTCTTGAATCAGTATTGGTTAAAAACAAATAAAAAACAAAAATTCACTTTTATGAAATCGAGAATGGGGATTATCTAATTGGAATGAATGAATTCCATAAACCTAATAGGTAGGTTCTGAATTTCATTAATGTTATGAAACGATTTCGTTAATACTATGCATTTTTTATTAATAAATTTCTGAATTTTGTTCATAACAATATTTTTCAAATTTACACATCATAATATTATTTCTAATACTTAAATCAAGTGAAGAATTGGTAATATGGCTGGTCTGGTCATTATTTAAAATTATTTTTATAATACCATGTAAACGGAGTATCAAAATTAAAGCAAACTTTGTAAAACCCTATTTTTAAACCACGTAAATTGTGAGTCGTGATATTTTTACCAAACCTACATCAAGTCGGAAGATGGTATCCATCGGTCCACTCCTTCTGGAACCTACCTCGCAATGTGTCAAATTCTTGAATTTGTTTTAATCTAATATTAAGCAACTGTAGTTTACGATTTGTTACATATTTTGCATATCGTAATATTCATACCAAATATTGATCTACTCCGAAAATGAGGAACGACGGTCTACTCCTTTTGATGTCTTTTTTTAATATTGACCTTAGGCGAACTTAAAAAAAAAAACTTTTAAAACCCTATATTAAATCCAGAGATGAGATCTATAGGGCAACTTCTCCTGATTCCTCCCCACAGATGGTCAACTCTTTCATAAAAACAAAACATATCAGTCGTCTCGAAAGGAAACATATGCGTCCTTTATTTTGAAAGTGGTCTAAGTCCATTTATTCTTGTATTGAAATATTTAAAGGTTTAGGTTTGAATTGTTAATGGTATTAATTTTGTTTCCGGCTGTGAGGCCTTAAACATGTTAGAATATATAACTTAATATGTTTTGGAAACTATACTAAAAAAGCAAGGCATTCATCAGAACCTAAAATGCACTTAAACCACTTTCAAAATAAATGTTTCCTTTCGAGACGTGGATTGAACCAAATACCCAACTTCGAGGATCTTGAGAGATTCCTATTCTTTTGAATCACATTTGCGGATACTTCGAAAGCTTGTTAAAACCAGTAAGGAAAGTAGTAAAGTCGGACGGGGCCGACTATATGATACCCTTCACCACTGTGGGTATATTCAACAGATGAATCCTAACAGACGTCAAATTTTTGAAGGACCATTAACATGAAAATGGTCAGATACAGGGTTGCTTCAAGCTAGGTTATATCTACTTCAGTACGCTGTGTCAAATTTGGGGTCGCTGTGCCAACCTTGGGGTCTTTGGTGAACCATTTATATATCGGACGAAAATATATATGGGAGCTATATCTAAATCTGGACCGATTTCCAGGAAACTAATTCAGTTCGCTGTGCCAAATTTCGTGCAAATCGAAAGATATATAGGGTCTTTGGTACACCATTTACATAAAATCGGACGAAAATATATATGGGAGCTATATCTAAATCTGGACCGATTTTCAGGAAACTTTATACACATCATTCTAGACCTAATTCAGTACGCTGTGCCAAATTTCGTGCAAATCGAAAGATATATAGTGTCTTTGGTACACTATTTACATAAAATCGGACGAAACTATATATGGGAGCTATATTTAAATCTGGACCGATTTTCAGGAAACTTAATACACATCATTCTAGACCTAATTCAGTACGCTGAGCCAAATTTCGTGCAAATCGAAAGATATATAGGGACTTTGGTACACTATTCACCTTAAATCGGACGAAAATATATATGGGAGCTATATCTAAATCTAAACCGATTTTTCCCAATTTCAATAGGGTTCGTGCTTGGGCCAATTAAATGACCTGTGCCAAATTTCATCCAAATCGGATCATAATTGCGACCTGTACTTTGTTAACAAAAATACATGGACGGACGGACAGACGGACATGCACAAATCGACTCAGAAAGTGATTCTATGCATATTCTAAAAAGGAACCATGGGTCTATCTCGATTATTTTTGCCTGTTACAAACATATGCACAAAGACATAATACCCTGTACCACAGTGTGGTGAAGGGTATAAATAGTTTTTTTTAACATTCTTAAGGTAGTTCTGATTGTGTTTTGTTTTCAACCAACAACGATGAGGAAAAAATCTTTCTCTGAGCATTTTTTTTTTACTTCAGATTGAAACCTTGATTCACTTACTGGACACTATTGTTTAGTCACTTCACGGCAAATTGGTGGCTCTGGCATCGATAGGATCTTTCGAAAACTATTATAGCAACAAGTCTATGTCGGAACAGACAATGCAATCCATTTAATTTCCCTCAGAGAGGACATAGATTTGCGATATCCCACTAGGGGGCAAAACGGAGCCGATTCAGAACAATATCTAGCTCCCATAATAAGTTCGTCCAATTTCATATAAATGATGCATATATATAGTCAAATCTTTTATAAATCGAATTCACTATCAAATATTTATTTCGCAAAGCATAAATAATTTTTATATCACTTCGTCCGATTTAGGTCCTTCCCTTACTGTTGTTTCATTGGCTCCAACAATCTTTCCCATAACCCAAATTAATACACACCTAATAAAGTGTGTGCAGCTGATAATCGTAGAACATCTCAAATGGGACTTTAATATGAATAAATTATATTTTTATTGAAGATGATATGAACAAAATAAAGTTGTACAAAATGTTGATACATGTGTTCGTATAGGTGTAAATGAAAAGATTGTGGTACATCACAAGATGATGTATTTAATATGGTTTCCAGTAGTAATGTTTGAGATTTTTTTGTGTACGTATTTAATAAGTTCTCAGAATTTATAGGGTTAATGTTCATTTATTTATAATTAACTCTACCACGTGTCTAGAAAAAAAAATAAAAATGGTGTGACATGTGTCATATTAACACCTTGCTTTTACGAGATTTCCAAAATTTGTTTTTTTTCTGAGAAATTTGTGTGAAGCATTCTTATAATTATTATTACAATTTATTTGCTACTGTAAAAATGTGGTATTTTTGTGAAGACACAACTTGCGATATAAAAAGAGCACATGGATTTTTTAAAGCAATTAAAAATTAAAATTTTATATTAGAAAATTTATTATAAATTTCTTATGGAATATTTAGTATTTAATTACTAATAATTGAAACTCTGTGTTCATAGATTATGTATGTGGATAATTGTATGCTCATGCTTTTTAAAACATTTTAATTTGACTTTATATTTTAATATTTAATTAAAACAAAATTTAATTTAAATTTCCTCTTCAGATTCATTAAATCCACTGCCTTGGAAGTAGAAGTACCAGAAGAACTAACAGAAGCTGGTCGTTATGAAGCACGTTTCATTGGCAATGACATTGATAGTGAATTGGATATTATTGAAGAGAAACATGCTTCAACATTGAGTAAGTATAACATTTTACAAAACTTTGTCACCACAAAACTAATCATCTTCCTCTCTAATTCTCTCTTTCCTTCTCCATCAATAGAACGCAAGAAGTTGAAGAAATTGATCATCCCCCTGTTGTTGGTATTGAAAATCTTCAAGCTGAAATTGTTGCTCTTCTTGCCTTTCATTTTGGGCATTGTTGGCCTTAAGAAAGTTCTCAGTTTGGCTGCCATTATTCTACCCGGTGTATTTGCTTACTTCAAATTCTGTCGTCCTCCTGGTGCTCATCAAGGTGGTGGTCTATTCTCTGGTTTATTTGCTGGCAAGGAATCATTTACTCAATATTCGCCTCAGGGTGTTGGTCCAGCTACCTACTATCATCATCATGATCATTATGAACATGGTGGCTATAGACCAGAACCACAATTCTCTAAACCTTATGGTGATTATTATAGTAAAAATTATCAAGATAGTGGTTCGGCTAATACCGTTAGCTTTGGTAATACTGCTCAAGATGCTGCTTATTCCGGTTATTATGGCAGAAGTACTGGCAAAGATATTGAAAGTACACAAAAGAGTTAAATGGGGATGTTTGTTCTCATTGAAATTTTGTACTGGCCATGCATTTTGTATTTAGTGCAACATTTGTTAAATCATTGTTAATTTTGCGTCTTTGTTTCATTTCTATATTGTATTTATTTAATGTTTTTGTATAAACATATTTATTTATATACCCTTTTTGTAATAAAATATTAAAAAAAAATTAATTTGTGTTATTATTTTCTTTCTTAATAGTAGGCTTTTTCAAATACAATAAGACATTATTTGCTTTAAATTTTTTGGGAACGAAATACATATAAAACGAAACATTTAAAAAACCATTTTAACGAAAAGTACTAAAATGTACCAAATATGGTACCCTTTGTATTAGGCGAACGGGAAGAGCTAGAATTCTGAAATTTGGAATGCGGATCACTGATGGAAAGTTAGAAAGATATGCAAAAGGGTTTTTAGAAATTCGACCTATAAGTGTACTAAAAGTACTAAATTTAGTTCTAATTATATATATATTGAACATATATAGCTAAAATCTTGAAATTTTATATGGAATACAGGTTGGGAAGTGGTGTTAATATATGGAAATGGTTTAAGATTTCCCTACTTATGTTTTTTTAAGAAGTACTAAGTGGTACTAAATTTGGTACTATTTGCTTTTAGTTGAGTGTATATAGATGGAATCCTGAAAATCGAAATAAGGGCCACTGTTGGAATACATGATTGAGGTACCTTTAAAAAATCGTACGTTTGTGTACGAAAAATACTTAATGGTACTAAATTTTGTGCAAGTTGCATTTCGGTTCACAGATCTGGAGTCTTGAAATTGGGAATTAAAATGACTGTTGCGGTGTTGAATTGAGGTAGTTTTGGAAATTCGTACTAATTGGTACGAAAAGTACTAAATGGTACTAAATATAGTACAATTTGGATTTTGCTTAAACGAATGAGCTTAAACCTTGAAATTTGGAATTCTGACTACTGTTGAAGATTGAGCTATAGCGACGTCTTTAGAAATTCGTATTTGTGTGTACGAAAAGTACTAAACGGCACTAGATATGGTACAATTTGGATTTGGGTGAACGGAGAGACCTGGAAACCTAAAATTTGGAATAATTGTTGCTTTTAGAATATAGAATCAACCCTATCCATGGTACCAATGGATAGGGTTGAGATACTGAAATTTTGAATTAATATTACTGTTGATTTTCGGTAGTTTTAAAAATTTGTCATTAGGTGTACTAAATTTGGTGCAGTTTAGATCAGAGTGAATGATAGAGATTAAAATTTTAAATTTGGAATGCAAATCACAGGATTAAGGTATTATTGGAATTTCGTACTTCTGGATACGAGAAGCTCTAAATGGTACTAAATAGAGTACAATTCGTTTTGTGTGAGCTGGAATCCTAAAATTTGGAATGAAAATTAAGGGTGGAGTGTAGGATTGAGATATCGAGGTAGTTTTGAAAATGCATGATTATGTGTACTAAATGGTACTGAGTTTAGTACAATTTGGATTTAAATGAAAGGATAGAGATAGACATAGAAATAGAAAACTTATATTTGAAAATAAAATTACTGTTAGAGTACAGGAAAAGTACTAAATGGTACTAAATATGCTACAATTTGGATGAACGAATAGGGTTGGGATCCTGAAATTTATGATTAAAATTACTGTTGCAGTGTCGAATTGAGGAAGTTTTATAAAATCGTACTTACCTCTACGAAAAGTAATAAATGGTACTAAATTTGGTTCTTGGTGAACGGATAGAGCTGGAATCCTTAAATGTAGACTAAAGGTTATTATTGGAGAACATGACTGGGATAGTTGTGGAAATATGTACTTAAGGGTACGAAAAGCACATAATTTGGTACAATTTGGGCTTAGGTGAACTGGTAGAATTGGAATCCCGAATGTTGCAACTTAGGTTACTGTGGGAGTGTAGATTTGATATAGTTTGGAATATGGGTACGGAAAGTACAGAATGGTACCAAATCTGGTACAATTTGGTTTTTGGTGAACAGACAGATCTGGAATTCTTAAATTTTGACTTACGATTACTAAATGAAAACAGTATTGAGGTATGTTTGGAAGTTCGTACTTATGAGTACGAAAAGTACTAAATTTGGACTTTGGTGGGATTAAGATTACTGTTGGAGAGTAAGATTTATGTAGTTTTAGAAATTCTTACGTATGACTATTATGGTACTAAATTTGGAACAATTTAGATTTGGTTGGATCCTGAGATTTGGAATTTAGATTACTGTTGAAGTGTAGTATTTAGCTATGGAGATAACTTTGGAAACTCGAATTGATGTGTAGGAATAGTAAATAGAATAGCAAATGCACTAAATTTCGATTTCGGCAACGGAGAGAGCTAAGTTTGTAATGTGGGTCACTGACGGAGAGTTAGAAAGAAGTACCAAAGGGGTTTTTATACTAACTGGTACTAAATTTAGTGGTGGTGGTATGGAAAATGTGTAATTATGTGTTCGAAAAGTACCAAGGATGAACTCTATTGAAATTGGGAAAAATCGGTTCAGATTTAGATATAGTTCCCATATATATTTTAGTCCAATTTTAGGTAAATAGTGCACCAAACTCCCTATATATCCTTCGATTTACACGAAATTAGGCACAGCGAGCTGAAATAAGTCTAGAACGATGTGTGTTACTAATTACCTTACTGGTTTTAATCTCTTTAATGGAAGTAAGAAATATTTCAGAAAATAGTGCTTATTTGTATGAAGAGTACTAAATCGCAAACTATATTACAACAAATTTGCAGTATTCACGATTCTATATGAAATATTTTTGTATTACCTTTCCGCATACGAAGTAGCGAGCAAAAATGCCTAAAAATGTAGAAAACATTATCCAAGTGTGTTTGAATTTTTTCTGTAGAAATTATAGATCAAATGAGTTCAGGCATTTTTTGATTAAAAAATATACCAGAGAGCCTCAGGTTTTTATATAAAAAATGTCACATTTCAATTTATACGAAAATTTAACCAATATGTTTTGCCAAGGGTCGCAGATTCTTTCTAGTATAGGATTTTTTTTGGTGATTTTTGTACACAAACATTTAGGCAAGGGATTTTTGTTACAAACAAAATCAACGGTCTCGGGAAGTTTTTTTAAAAAAAGTCGATCCAATAATCCAACGAATTTTTTTATGTTTTTCAGAAAATAGTGAAATTCTGAGAATTTTTTGTTTAAACTAATTGAACATATCTCTCAGGACTTTATTCTTTAAAAAAATTATTCCAAGAGTCTTAGAAATGTTTTCTATAGAAAATTTTTGAATTGTTCATGGGGATACGATTTTTACTATAGAAAATATTAGCCAAAGTTCCTTACGTTTATATTTCTGCAGACAAATTTACCAAATACTCTCAGTAATTTGTCTACAGAAAAAGTATATGTACTGTCTTCGGACTTCTTATTCCCTCAGCCTTGTGGATAATGATTGTATATACACTTTGATACGTAAAAATTGACTCATTGAACTATTGGTTTAAGACTCAATGTTTCTTTAGAGAAAATCCGTTTCAGACAATTTTGGGGCGATTTAGAAATGCCCGTTCGTCTGTATGACCGGTTGGTGCGCACGATAACTCTCGAAGGGAGTTACGATTTTATCTAAAATTTGCACATCGTAATATTTGTTCCAAACATGGATTAAGTTCGAAGATGAGGAATATCGGTCCACTCCTGCTAGTACCACTTCCATAAAATGGCCCACAATGCAAGAAATTAATTTTATAATATCATGCAAAGGGACTATACGATTTGCACCAAACATTGTACAAACTATTATCTTTACCAAGCCTAGCTCATGTCCGAAGATAAGACCAAGACCCATTTCTTTAGAGAAAATCCGTTTCAGACAATTTTGGGGCGATTTAGAAATGTCCGTTCGTCTGTATGACCGGTTGGTGCGCACGATAACTCTCGAAGGGAGTTACGATTTCATCTAAAATTTGCACATCGTAATATTTGTTCCAAACATGGTTTAAGTTCGAAGATGGGGAATATCAGTCCAATCCCGCTAATACCAGTTCCACAAAATGGTCTAAAATTGTGCAAAAAAATAATTTTATAATATCATGCGAACGGAAAATATGATTTGTACCAAACTTTGTACAGCATATTATCTTTACCAAGCCTAGCTCATGTCTGAAGAAGGAATGCATTGGATCACTCCCTCTGGTACCTCCCCCACAATTGGTAAATGTTTCCAATGTATATAAATTCAATATTAGTCAATTCAATATTGAAAATGTCGATAAAATCGGAGAAATGGTCGAAGTTGAACGGCATGTCAGCGGCCGTAATATCGCCCAGGCACTAAAAATCGACCATAAAACTATTTAAAACCATTTACACAAAACTGGATTCAAAAAGAAGCTCGATGTTTGGGTGCCACACCAATTAACAGAAAAAAATATGATGGATCCAATTTCCATCTGCGAAGCCTTGGCTAAACGGAATGAGATAGACCCATTTCTTAAACGGAGGGTGACTGGAGATGAGAAATGAATAACTCTCGATAAACGAGCGGTGAAGCACCTCAGTCGGTGGCCAAACCAGGACTAAGGGGATTATTTATTATCAATTGCTTCCATATCGCCAAACGCTAAACTCTGACCTCTACTGTCAACAACTGGACCGTTTAATGTTAGCAATTGACCAGAAACGGCCAGAATTGGCCAACAGTAGAGGTGTCGTGTTCCACCAGGACAACGCTAGGCCACACACATCTACAGTGACCCGCCAGATACTTCGGGAGCTTGGTTGGGAGGTTTTATTGTCACCAAGCGATTATCATTATTTTCTTACATTGCAAAATTTCTTTAATGATAAAGAATTGGTATCTTGGGAGGATTCTGAAAATCGACTACAAGAGTTTTTTGCAAATTGAGAGCAGGACTTCAATCAGAGATGCATTATGAAGTTACCTTTAAAATGGCAACAAATCATACAACAAAACGGTGCATATTTGTTACTACATGTTGGTATGTGTATG